GCCGCTTGCTTCGGCCTCGAAAGGGCGGCTGAAACCTCTCCTCTCTTGGTGCTTCGCGGGCACGGCTCTAAACTTTGCTTTGGACACGGAAAATATCCGTCCGTAGCGTGACTGTGACGTCGGGGGGAAAGCCTGAGCGCGGGGAGGACGCGTGCAAACCACGGGTGATGGTAAAATGCTTCGGACGGTGGGTTTGGACCCTGTTGCACATGGGCCGGCCCGTGGTTTGTTTTTCAGGGCTCTGCAAATTAAAAACAATAATCAAAAGTCAAAATTCAGAGAGGCAGAGTCCGGTGATCATGAGCCAGCAGAATGCACTGGGGGGATGCCGCCTTTGAGCCCCTCTTCTCCAAACTTGTCGTAGACGCCTTTCTTCGTGGCTTAGGGAAGGAGGAGGAGTTGGGAATGGCCATGAGAGGGGAGAGCCTGAGATCCAGGCTTTGCTTGGGTGGAGGATGGAGACAGGATGGGGCAGGGGGGGAGCACACCAGCTTGGGGACAGCAAGGTGGGATGGAAGCAGTAGGTTAGTAAGCATGGTGGGGATGGGTTGATGTCTGGGCTTGATGATTTTAGACATCTTTTCCAGTCTTAACACTGGAGAGAGTCCAGCGGAGGGCTACGAGGATGATGAGGGGGTTGGAGCATCTCTCCTACGAGGAGAGGCTGAGGGAGCTGGGCTTGTTCAGCCTGGAGAATAGAAAGCTGAGCTGGAAGCTAATAAATGTTTATAAATATCTTCAGGGTGGGGTCAGGAGGACCCTCTGAGGGTGACTGAGCACTGGCCCAGGCTGCCCAGAGGGGCTGTGGAGGCTCCTTCTCTGAAGATATTCCAGACCTGCCTGGCCGCGGTGCTGTGCAGCCTGCTCTGGGTGACCCTGCTTCGGCAGGGGGCTGGGCTGGGGGATCCCCAAGGGCCCTGCCAACCCCTGCCGCTGGGATTCTGGGGTTCTGTGAGTGCGCTGGTGTCATTCTTCCGTGCTTCATAGAAGGCGGCTTTGGCCGAGGGTCGACCTTCACAAATTCACAGTTCACTTGCCAGAGCCCGCTGGGGCCTGGACCTTTTGAATTTCGGCCTTCGGCTTTGGCTCTCTGCGGCGCTGAGGAAGAGCAGCGCTGCAGCTCCGAAGCCTGGGGCGGGCAGGGAAAGCTTGCACCCTCGCGGATTTTTTTTTTCTTCCCCAGGACTTGGAACTAACAAGGCTTTTCCCAACCAGCTGCCTCTCGGCGTGCGGAATGAGGGAAAAACCCCTCCAAGGAGAACCGGTGAGCACCGGAGAACACTTTGTGAGGGTTTTTTTTCTCCTTTGTATCCACCATCTCGCACGCTGCGCGACGCCGGCGTTCGCTGCGCGGAGAAAACGGACGCGGGGTAGAGCTCTAACGTCTCGCTCCTTCTCCACAGGGCCGAAGCGGAGCGGTGCCGGGGGGCATCCCGTACCGAAGGCCGAATCGTCCCAGGCCCACGGCCGATCTCTCGGAAGAGGAAACCAAAAGAATCGCCAGGATCTTCTCTGCTCAGCTGTCCAAGAAGGAGTAGCGCTGGCGAGAGGCCGCCGACCACGGGGAGCTGAGCGAGCGTTGTGTCCTGCGAGGGCAGGTCCCCGCTGAGACTCACCGCTCCGGTGACCAACAAGCTGATGTTGGCTCTCCAGAAGCTCCATTTCTCAGATTTATTCGTATGAACTTTCTCTGTTTAACCTTCTTTTGTACTTCTGGAGTGAACACAAAGCATCCCGGTGTGAGACGGCTCCTTGGGTGGAGCAGAGCGGGAGTTTGCCGTCCCAGCGGCGAGCAGTGACCTGTTGCCTCCCCGCTGTGAAGACGAGCTCCCTCCCTGGTGGCCTTTCAAAAATCCTTGGTGGGAAGCGTAATTCTCCGCTTCTCGAGGAACGCGTGTGCCCGAGCTGCTCCTGTAAATATGGGCCAAGGGTACTGCAACGTCCTGACGTGTGTACAAAAGGGTTTTACTACAAATATGTAACTTTTTTTCTATCCTAAATTATTTTTGTACATTTTTATGTCAGGTACCTTTTGGGTAACGGACTTTGGTACAAACCAAGCTAAGTTATTTTTGTACTGCTCTCCAGTCTTTGCCTTTCAATAAAATTCCCCCGGTTTCTTGCTGGCTGCTGCAAGGTGCCCCGAGCCGGTGGGCACCGGGCGGACGGGACCCCTTCCCCTGGAGAAACTCCTTCCCCCGGGGACGGCGCAGGTCCGCGGCCGGGCAGGGGGCACGCGGGAAGCTCGCCGCGTTGCAGACAGATGATGGCCGGATAGCGCAGCCGGCGCGGAACGAGTCGGACCTCGGAGGCGAGCGGGTGCTCCGAATTCAAGCTCCTTTTCACACCATGCTTTGAATTCAGGATTTAAAGAACGGAAGTGGCAGCATCCCTGTTTCCTCCCGCCTCTGCAGGGTTGGTTTTTCACAGGGGAAATCCTGAATGCGTCACTCGCTGCTGACGACTCGCCCGTGCTGCGTTAGACCCCGGTGGGGAAAATCTCTTGGGCCCTGCCTTGGGCCTCATCTGGAGTACTGTGTCCAGTTCTGGGCTCCCCAGTTCAAGAAAGATGAGGAGCTACTGGAGAGAGTCCAGCGGAGGGCTACGAGGATGAGGAGGGGACTGGAGCATCTCTGCTACAAGGAGAGGCTGAGGGAGCTGGGCTTGTTCAGCCTGGAGAAGAGAAGGCTGCGAGGGGACCTTAGAAATGCCGATAAATCTCTTCAAGGTGGGTGTCAGGAGGACGGGGCCAAGCTCTTTCCAGTGGTGCCCAGCGACAGGACAAGGGGCAACGGGCACAAACTGAAGCCGAGGAAGTTCCAGCTGAAGATGAGGAAGAACTTCTTCCCTCTGAGGGTGACGGAGCCCTGGCCCAGGCTGCCCAGAGGGGCTGTGGAGTCTCCTTCTCTGGAGATATTCAAGACCCGCCTGGTCAAGGTCCTCTACAACCTACTGTAGGTGACCCTGCTTCGGCAGGGGGTTGGACTGGGTGACCCACAGAGGTCCCTTCCAACCCCAAACATTCTGTGATTCGGTGCCCGCACGCTGCCGCAGAGCTCGGAGCCTCCCGCCAGCCGCCCGAAGCGGGGCCATCAGCGCGGCCCTGTGACTCCCGGCGAGGGCAGCTGGGTCGTGAACACGGTCACGGAGGAGGTGATGATGTCGACAGCTGAGTTGCATCTGAGGTATGAGATCAACAGCTTCTTCCCCTTGCGTTTGGGTCAGCGGTGGAGCATGGGCCAGGAAAACGAGCCGGCAGCGAGCCGGAGAGGGGAGTTGGCGCCGGACGAGCTGCCTGGAGCCCGATGGATGCAGCAAAGGCAGCGTCAAACCAGCTCAGAATCGCTCTTGCGTGCGGGCGGGCAAGAGCCGAGGCTTTCTGCACAGCGAGGGGGACGTGCGGGCTGCCGGGAGCGCGTCGCGTGGCGGGGGGTGCCTGTAGTGCGGGATGGCTCCCGGGGACAGACGGGGCGAGTTTTAAGAAAACGGAGAAGAGGCATTTCTTGAATCTCCGAATCATTAAGGCTGGAAAAGACCTCCAAGATCATCAAGTCCAACTGCCAACCCAACCCCACCATGTCTGCTCAACCATGTCCCCAAGGGCCACATCCACACGGTTTTTGAACCCCTCCAGGGATGGGGACTCCACCATTGCCCTGGGCAGCCTGGGCCAAGGCCTGACCACTCTTGCAGGAAAGA